ACATGGGTTGAGGGGGTGATTTGTTGATATCACCCCATGTGAGGGGTGATTTCCTTCCAATGTGAAGTCAGCTCCAACAATGTCCTCGATTGCGGCTGCCAACCGACAAGCCGCAAAGGTAGACGATCCACCTTTGTTGAATGACCAGCTGGCCATGTGCAAGGCCAGCCAGCTCTTTCCTTCTCATTGTATAAATAGAGGTAGAGAGAGCAGAGGGAAATGTGGTGAGTGGTGAGTGGTGAGTTCAAAAAGAGAATACAGAGAGTGACTATCAGTGTGTAATTCTTCCATTTCTCCATATAGTGAAATCTGCTGCCCGTGGATGTAGGCGACTTGTCGAACCACGTTAAATCTCTTGTGTTATTGCTTATGTGTGTTTCCTGGTGTGCCATCGATCCCTAACAATTCAATGATCTACAAATCCCATATTGCATTTCCAAAGTTAAAGAATAGCGAAGACCCAAAACAGTTAAATCTAATGCTAGCACAACCAGAACCAAGCAAGTATGAAACCCCACCACCACCCCAGCCAAGACCCTAAACAATTAAGCTAAAACCAGCATAACCACAACCCATGTAATCAGGAGAAATTATTCAGTTGTAGGAACAAATCTATCTGGTGGTCCAATTTCCACAATAATTACTTTACATAATAAGGACCATCACTTTTGTGTGAATATTTTAAAAGACAACATAAGATACATTAATTAATAAATAATCTAGAGCATTGTTTCAGGAGTACTAAACAATTTTTTTTGTAGCCAGTGGTGGGGAGCTTTGACACAGGATTTTGTGGAGAACATGCAACATCATTTTATGATCTTAGCACATCCAACACTCAAATCATGTCTATAAAAGCTCCTGATTAAGCGTTGTCTAGCTCATCCAAAACTGCTTAGAGAAATCTAGTGAACAAAATATGGGTTCCTCTTTGCATCTTCTATTCATGTAGTTACTCTTCTTATCACTCTTTTGCTTTCATCTTGTAATAATAATGGCTAACTCTTTGTCTGTTGAGTAGCCACTATGCCATGCAGACGAGAGCTTCGCCCTGCTGCAATTCAAGCAAAGCTTTTCAATTGACAAATCAACTTCTAGTGATCCTTCTGCTTATCCGAAGGTTGCATCACAGAAGCTCGAAGGAGATAGTGGCCATTGCTGCTCATGAGATGGCGTTGAATGCGATCAGGAGACGGGTGATGTGATTGGCCTTGACCTCAGCAACAGTTTCCTCCACGGTTCTATCAATTCAAGCAGCAGCCTCTTCAGCCTAGTTCACCTTCAGCGACTTAACCTTGCTTATAATGACTTCGATTACTCTTGCATTCCATCAGAAATTGGCCATCTCTCAGGGCTAACAAGTCTCAACTTTTCCTCCTCTGTATTTTCTTGTCAAATCCCTTCGAAAATCTCAAAATTGTCCAAATTGGTTTCTATTGATCTTTCTTTCAATGTAGACTCATGAAATGCAGGAGGATTGAAACTTGAAAAGCCTGGTCTGAGAAGTCTACTTCAAAACTTGACTAACCTCAAAGTGCTTCGTCTCAATGACGTGAGCATATCTTCTGAAGTACCTGATACATTGGCCAACTTAACTTCCTTGACAACTCTCGTTTTTGAAAATTGTGGGTTGCGTGGCGAGTTTCCAATAAGCATATTTTATCTGCCAAACCTTCAAGTTCTTGATGTAAGTTTGAATGGATATCTCACTGGCCATTTGCCCGAATTTCATCCAAGTAGCCCCCTTCAACATTTGATGCTTTCTTACAATAGCTTTTCGGGGAAGCTACCGAATTCGATTGGAAATCTTAATTTCCTGAATCAATTAAATTTCTCTGGCTACTATTTCTCAGGGTCCCTTCCAGCTTCACTCGGTAATTTGACCCAACTCAATTACGTGTCGCTTTCATCCAACAAGTTTAATGTAGGGACTCTACAAATACTTGGTAAGCTAACTGAGCTCACTGACTTGGAGCTTAGGGACCTCAATCTATACGTTTCGATCCCATCAGTTCTTTCAAACCTAACTCAACTTACTTATTTAGACCTGTCCTCCAATCTTTTAAGTGGTGAAATAACATCTCATATAACCAACCTAACCCATCTAATTTCGCTAGATGTTTCAATAAATCAATTGCGAAGCCCAACCCAAAGGTCATTATCTGAGCTAAAGAATCTTGAAACGCTAGATCTTTCTTTCAATAACCTCAGTGGCTTCGAACTTGAAATTTTTCTGATGCTCAAAAATCTTATTTTTCTCGATTTGTCTGGTAACAATTTAACAGTTCTAACCAAAAAAACTTCAAATAACACTCTTAACAAATTAAAGGTGTTGGAGTTGAATTCAAGCAACTCGAGGAAATTCACAAATTTCTTGCACTTCCAAGACAAACTTGATATTTTATCTCTTGCTGAAAACAAAATTCATGGCGAAATTATGGCATGGATGTGGAACACAAGTGTAGAAACTCTAGCGTGGTTAAGTCTTCGGAATAACTTTCTAACAGGCTTTGAGCAACAACCAGATATCCTTCCATGGGATAATTTAGGCGAATTAGACCTTTCTTATAACAGGCTACAAGGACCACTGCCAATTCCACCATTATCCACCTGCTCTTGTAGTGTCTCATACAATGGATTGACAGGAGAACTTCCACCATTGATCTGTCGATTGAGTTCTCTTTATGTTCTTGATTTGTCTAATAACAACTTGACTGGAACTATTCTTCCATGTTTGAGTAACTTCAGTGATTCTTTGACAGTTCTAAATCTCCAAGGCAACAACTTTCAGGGTCCCATTCCTCACTCATACAATAGAGGAAACAAATTGAAGATGATTGACTTGAGTGATAATAAATTACAGGGGAAGGTGCCAGGATCATTGGCAAATTGTACCGAGCTTGAGTTTCTTGATCTCTCAAATAATCTGATTGACGATGCATTCCCCTTGTGGTTAGGAGATCTTACAAAGTTACAGGTTCTCATCTTGCGATCCAACAAATTTTATGGTGCAATAGAGAATCCCAAAATTAAGTTGGAGCTACCAAATTTGCACATCATTGACCTCTCTCATAATGGTTTTACAGGTGATTTGCCATCAAAATACTTTCAAAATTGGAATGCAATGAAATTTTTTGATGTCAACAAGATGAAATATATGAACACAATCATTGAAGTTCGCAGGAACAATGACAGTTGGGGTGATGGCTATTGGTACACAACGAACATTACAAACAAATGTGTAAATACAGAATATCAGGAGATCCCGAATATCTTCACTGCCATTGATCTCTCAAGCAACAAATTTGAAGGGGTGATTCCAGAATTTATTGGAAACCTTAAGGGGCTTAAGCAGCTCAACCTTTCCAACAATAACCTTAATGGTGGAATCCCATCATGCTTGGGGAACCTAACAAACCTTGAATCTTTGGACCTTTCTCAAAACAAGCTCTCGGGAGAAATCCCGCAGCAACTAGCACTTCTCACTTTCCTTGAATTTTTAAATGTCTCAAATAACCATCTCACTGGACCCATTCCACATGGGCAGCAATTCAACACATTTGAGAACAATTCCTACGAGGGGAATTCAGGATTGTGCGGAGACCCTTTATCAAGGAAATGTGGAAAGTTAGAGGCACCACCACCATTGAACTCGGAACAAGATAATGATTCAGCGTTCCCAAGTAAATTTGATTGGATTTTCATATGCATGGGATATGTGAGTGGGATAGTAGTCGGGATGGTTATTGGGCACACAATAACCACAAGGTATCACGATTGGTTCATCTAGAATTTTGGAAGGAAACAGCACAAGTTGAGAAGGGAGAAAAGGAAGGGACACGGAAATCGAACTTGATTAGGCATTGCTTCACAAGCTGTTTCTTTTGGGGTACGTTTCTAAATTTATTGAATTATTTATGTATAATGCTTTCATGATATATTTTTAGATGAATTGTTAATTCATCGAAATCCGTGTTTTAGCCTACTCGTGAGTAGTAAACCTCAACCATTTTTCCAAACAAACGGATATGTGATGCTTTGTTCCAAATTAGGCAATCTAGTCTATACTTGTGTGTTGTGAGCATCACATAGTAAATTCAAGCTAATTAACCGGAATAAGAACGCATGCGTTTTCAAAAACTCGATATCATGCTTAGTACGGCCGATCTTCAGATCGGGCGAGCGGGGGTGCTCATAGATGACCTTCCCCAATCGTACCCAAGTTCTCGAGCCGAGGCAACTTTGGTGATGATGGACACGTGGCCTTAGGCAACGAGTCAGGGTTTCCTAAATTCTCCCAAAATAAAATATTAGGTGGCGACTCTGTATGTGGCAAAGCAGTCCATGTTTTGCACTTCTTTCTTAAAAATCTATTTTCCAAAACGATTTGCCAAATTCGGACTCTTTGGTGATTTATCGGTCTTGCATTACACATTACGAGATCAGATTAAGAACCATGACAAATGAGTCCGAACTGTGGTAGCATAAGGCCCGAGGGCGCGTCCACACCGATATGCTCACAAAAGTGGTTTCTGGGATCAAGTTCCAACATTGTTTGGACCTGGTCAACATCTCTCGGAACTAATCACCTTCGGGTGCAAGGCAATGTTGATCGATCACTATGGACAGAGGGCAAAGGCATGATAGTCAAGGGCATCCCAGCATGGGGTACAGGACATCCAATCAGGGGGTGTATGATATCTTGGTTACACAAGTTCAAGCATAGCAGGTGAAGACATCCGAGACAGGAAGCATGGAAGAGATCTGTGGGAGATAGGAGCAGAGGCTCTCTCCTAATCAGAAAGTGGTGTGAGTTGAGTTGAGGATGTAGGATTCCCTCCTCCTTTTGTGTCTCTGGTGTATTATCTCTAGCTTTAGGGGATACAGCGTCTCAGTGAGGAGATGCAGACTATGTTAAATTTAGGTGTGACAAGATTAGCAGCAGTGTGCATTGGATCACCTTACATGGGTTGAGGGGGTGATTTGTTGATATCACCCCATGTGAGGGGTGATTTCCTTCCAATGTGAAGTCAGCTCCAACAATGTCCTCGATTGCGGCTGCCAACCGACAAGCCACAAAGGTAGACGATCCACCTTTGTTGAATGACCAGCTGGCCATGTGCAAGGCCAGCCAGCTCTTTCCTTCTCATTGTATAAATAGAGGTAGAGAGAGCAGAGGGAAATGTGGTGAGTGGTGAGTGGTGAGTTCAAAAAGAGAATACAGAGAGTGACTATCAGTGTGTAATTCTTCCATTTCTCCATATAGTGAAATCTGCTGCCCGTGGATGTAGGCGACTTGTCGAACCACGTTAAATCTCTTGTGTTATTGCTTATGTGTGTTTCCTGGTGTGCCATCGATCCCTAACAATTCAATGATCTACAAATCCCATATTGCATTTCCAAAGTTAAAGAATAGCGAAGACCCAAAACAGTTAAATCTAATGCTAGCACAACCAGAACCAAGCAAGTATGAAACCCCACCACCACCCCAGCCAAGACCTTAAACAATTAAGCTAAAACCAGCATAACCACAGCCCATATAATCAGGAGAAATTATTCAGTTGTAGGAACAAATCTATCTGGTGGTCCAATTTCCACAATAATTACTTTACATAATAAGGACCATCACTTTTGTGTGAATATTTTAAAAGACAACATAAGATACATTAATTAATAAATAATATAAAGCATTGTTTCAGGAGTACTAAATAATTTCTTTTGTCGCCAGTAGTGGTGAGCCTTGACGCACAGCATTTTGTGGAGAACATGCAACATCATTCTATGATCTTAGCACATCCTACACTCAAATCATGTCTATAAAAGCTACTGTTTAAGCATTGTCTAGCTCATCCAAAACTGCTTAGAGAAATCTAGTGAACAAAATATGGGTTCCTCTTTGCATCTCTTTCTATTCATGCATTTACTCTTCTTATCACTCTCTTGCTTTCATCTTGTAATAATAATGGCTAACTCTTTGTCTGCTGAGCAGCCAAAATGCCATGCAGACGAGAGCTCCGCCCTGCTGCAATTCAAACAAAGCTTTTCAATTGGCAAATCCACTTCTAGTGATCCTTCTGCTTATCCGAAGGTTGCATCATGGAAGCAACAGTTTCCTCCACGGTTCTATCAATTCAAGCAGCAGCCTCTTCAGCCTAGTTCACCTTCAGCGACTTAACCTTGCTTATAATGACTTCGATTACTCTTGCATTCCATCAGAAATTGGCCATCTCTCAGGGCTAACAAGTCTCAACTTTTCCTCCTCTGTATTTTCCTGTCAAATCCCTTTGAAAATCTCAAAATTGTCCAAATTGGTTTCTATTGATCTTTCTTTCAATGTAGACTCATCAAATGCAGGAGGATTGAAACTTGAAAAGCCTGGTCTGAGAAGTCTACTTCAAAACTTGACTAACCTCAAAGTGCTTCGTCTCAATGACGTGAGCATATCTTCTGAAGTACCTGATACATTGGCCAACTTAACTTCCTTGACAACTCTCGTTTTTGAAAATTGTGGGTTGCGTGGCGAGTTTCCAATAAGCATATTTTATCTGCCAAACCTTCAAGTTCTTGATGTAAGTTTGAATGGATATCTCACTGGCCATTTGCCCGAATTTCATCCAAGTAGCCCCCTTCAACATTTGATGCTTTCTTACAATAGCTTTTCGGGGAAGCTACCGAATTCGATTGGAAATCTTAATTTCCTGAATCAATTAAATTTCTCTGGCTACTATTTCTCAGGGTCCCTTCCAACTTCACTCGGTAATTTGACCCAACTCAATTACGCGTCGCTTTCATCCAACAAGTTTAATGTAGGGACTCTACAAATACTTGGTAAGCTAACTGAGCTCACTGACTTGGAGCTTAGGGACCTCAATCTATACGGTTCGATCCCATCAGTTCTTTCAAACCTAACTCAACTTACTTATTTAGACCTATCCTCCAATCTTTTAAGTGGTGAAATAACATCTCATATAACCAACCTAACCCATCTAATTTCGCTAGATGTTTCAATAAATCAATTGCGAAGCCCAACCCAAAGGTCATTATCTGAGCTAAAGAATCTTGAAACGCTAGCTCTTTCTTTCAATAACCTCAGTGGCTTCGAACTTGAAATTTTTCTGATGCTCAAAAATCTTATTTTTCTCGATTTGTCTGGTAACAATTTAACAGTTCTAACCAAAAAAACTTCAAATAACACTCTTAACAAATTAAAGGTGTTGGAGTTGAATTCAAGCAACTCGAGGAAATTCCCAAATTTCTTGCACTTCCAAGACAAACTTGATATTTTATCTCTTGCTGAAAACAAAATTCATGGCGAAACTCTGGCATGGATGTGTAGACGCGCCCGTGGGCCTCACGCTATAGTTCAGACTCGAATTGTCACGGTTCTAAATCTAAACCAAAGAGTCCAAATCCGGCAAATCATTTTTGAAAACAGAATTTTTGTAAAGAAGTGCCAAACATGGACTGCTTTGCCAGATATAGAGTCGCCACCTAAATATTTAAAAAAAGGGGAATTTAGGAAACCCTGACTCGTTTGCCTAAAGGCCACGTGTCCGTCATCACCAAAGTTGCCTTGGCTCGGGAACTTGGATACGATTGGGGAAGGTCACTTCGTGAGCACCCCGCTCACCCGATCAAAGATCGGTCTCTACCAACCATGATATCGAGTTTTGAAAATATTATGTGCTCTTATTCCGATTAATTAGCTAATCTCACTATATGATGCGCACAACACAAAAGTATAGACTAGATCACCTAATTTGGAACAAAGCATTGCTATCCGTTTGTTCGGAAAATGGTTTGAAATTTGCTACTCGCAAGTAGGTTAAAATATGGATTTTAACGAGTTGTTCCAACTCAAGCAATCCAACCTTCACGCACAGGCATTCAGACAGTTATAACACATAAGCACATAGCCTCATGGTAAGCATGCTATCATTAACCTCATGCAAGATGCTAAAACATAAATGCTACACGAGTACTCCAAGCCAAAACAGAAACTAGTTAATAATCATATGCATGAACTAGTTCTAGTTAAGATGGCTAATGCAACACATGCAAGATGCAACTACAATAGGCTCGGCTATCTAAGATGGCATATGATGATGCTACAACTAACACTATTCAACTTGGAATTGAAATACAATGCAGTTAGTATGATGCGCCAAGCCCGTGCATGCAAGACAAATGTATGGATGCACGCATGCATAGCATAAGGTATGCTAATTTAAATATGCCCTAATACTAACCATGAAAGCCGGTAAGTAAAAGGGAGAAAGAAGTGGGGGTTGGAAGACATACACACACTCACACGCACTTATTACACATATTGCCCTCGCTCGAGGGTCCGAAAGAATTATACACAACCAAATAAATGATTAACTACTTAATTAATTACAGAACTTCTAATTGATTAACGAATTAAGTGCAGAAGGAAGATGGCCGCAGCCTTGCCTCGGAATGATGGGATAATGCATGCTCGGTTTGCCTCGCCTGGAAACTCGGTACCATGCCACTGTTGCCTCTGTTTACACTGCCTTGCTCCTCTGATATTTATGAAAGCTTCTAGAGTCCTTCTAAATCACTCCCTGAGTGTTGTGGAGCGTCACCGGCCATAATTCAGTTCCACTGGCCATGGGAATAGGCTTATCGACCAAATATTGAACCACCGGCTGGACACTGATGGTCGGTCGGCACCAAAAGTGGTCGGCCGGCCATTTCTTCTTGCAGAGCCCTGTTTTGACAACAGCAGAGGGCAGACAGTGCATGATATGGAATTTTCAAAGCAATGTGTGCATGGCCACTCTCCCTATCACGCTATGGGCTCAAGGGAGTTTGGTACTCGACCCTCGGACCACCAATCGCGCATTTCAATGCGTGATGGTCCAAGAAGTCAAGTATGCATTTCAATGTGAATGAATGCAACAAAACACATGAGTGCTACACGCCCTATCATCTTGAGATCAAGGACATCGGCGACCAAGGATTGAGGCGCGTTATGTCACTTTGAGTATGAACGCCCCTCATTCCTCATGCTTGGTTTGACACCCCAAACCAAGCAAAATGTAATGCAAGTATGCAATGTGACTCAAGTATGCAACATGTCTCAAGCATGCAATATAAGGCTAAGGTAACAAACATGCCAAGTGCAACGTGCCAAACATGCAAGATACAATGCAATGCAACCAATCATGCAAGCTATGATATGGAATGCAACTAGCTAAACAACATGCAAACGTGCAAAGATGAGACAATGCAAGCATGAAACCAACGTAATGCAACATGTCAAAACATGCAATGGTGGACTTAAACCGCAAAGGGTAGACCTCAGCCTTGCCATAAACAGTGGCCAAAGATGATGCAAATGAAGGACAAATGCTCATGCAAACATGCACACCAATGGGCCTAAAGCTAAGGCACAAAAGGTAACATTCAAGAACACTCAAAAGATGATAAGCATGGACATTAGACCAACATCTTAAACTCTGAAAATGCATAGAGGATGATGCCAAATCAACCATGTTATGCAAGTAAGGCATGTAATAATGACCAAAACTTGAAGCCAACAAAGGGGTCCAAACCATAGCTATGTCAACCAAACCCCAAAGGACCAAAATCGCTTAAAACAGTCCTAAGGCACTCCAAAACAAGACTAAAGCATGCATAGAACATGATCAAAACATGCCAAGAAATGGGCTCAAAACAAAGGGCATTCAAAGCCACAAAAGGGAGCATTGCTCTACACCCACCCCAACCAAACATGGGATGGATTATGTGATGAAAAACAGAGTTATAATATGCCAAAATAACCCCCAAAACCCACTTAGATGACCTCTAAATGATTTGAACAAAGAAGCATACACCAGGGCCCAAACATGGAGTATAAGTCCACAACTCTTCAAGGCATTGAAAGGGTAGCAAAGGCAAGCATGTAAGCATGAAACATGGACTGAAATGGTATAATAAATGATTCAAATCACTGAAATAGCCTAGGTAATGCAAGCTAATGACTCACACACTCAAGGCTCACAAGCCAAAATGCAAAGAGGCTATACCAAACATGGCAAACATGATCAAATCAGCACCCAACAGACCTTAAGCATGATGAAATATGACCAAAAGCTTCATGAAGTCAAGCTAGAACATGCAAGCATGGAGGTCTAAAGGATAGCATATGATGATGCTACAGCTAACACGTATTCAACTTGGAATTGAAATACAATGCAGTTAGTATGATGCGCCGAGCCTAGTGCATGCAAGACAAATGTATGGATGCACGCATGCATAGCATAAGGTATGCTAATTTAAATATGCCCTAATACTAACCATTGAAAGCAGGTAAGTAAAAGGGAGAAAGAAGTGAAAACATGAACAAATGAGACACAAAGGGAGAGAGGTGTCCCTCCCCTATGAAAGACTTCAAAACCTCTTCTTCACCACTGAAAATCCCCTGGATTTCAGTGGTGAGAAGGCCAATGCACAAAAGCATTCAAAGCTCTACCAAAGAAGGCACAAAAGGGGCCAAACAAGGCCTAAGAGGAGGAGGTCGACCCCAAACACAAAAGAGACTTTAATGAAACATCTTAAGCATGAAAAATCAGAGTTTTTATCAGTTATACATAAAGCTCAAAATAGCATGCAAAGTGGGTTAAAAGCTAGTGCAAGATTGGGAAATATAAAGCAAAAATGTTTACCCTTGAAGAACACTTCAAGAACAGTAAGTCCAGTCCCCTTTTCCTGATCAAAACCGACTCAAAACTCCAAGAACAAACTCTCAACACCTCCAAAACCGAAGTATGGTGTAATACTAGGTGTCTTAGTGCAAAACTAAGAACAAAACACCCTTTTAGGCCCTCTAACACACACAAATGAAGAGAGAGAGGGAGATATAGAGAGAGAGTGGTGTATATGTGCTATATAACTCTGATTTGCTGAACCTCCCCAAAGGAGAAGGAAGGCTTCCTTTTATAGAGGAAGACAAAGGGCTAAGCTTCTAAGAGAAGCTAATACAAAAGGGTCAAGGGGGGTCAAGCTTTTCAAGGAAGCTAACTCAAAGGTCCAAGCTTCTTGAGGAAGCTAAGACAAAGGTCCAAGCTTCCTCAAGAAGCTTGAGCAAAGAGTGCAAGCTTTTCCTAGAAGCTTAGAACAAAAAGGTGCAAAAGGGGCAAATCCTCCATACACGTGTATGGAGGACAAGTCCGTGCACTCCAGCTGGCACAGCTGGCATGCACCATGCCTGAAAAAGGTAAAAAGGAGGTATCGGCCAAACAAAGAGCCTATCGGCCAAATAAATGGCCGGCCGACCACACAAAGAGCCGATACACCTAACATAAGTGCCGACTGACCAAACATTTGGCCGATGGCAACAAAACAATGGCCGGTGGCCTCAAGCCATGGTCGGTGAGGTGTGGGGATGGCCAGCAGGCCATTCCCTGCCCCTCAAAAGCAAAACACAAGTATTTGGTGCAAAACCAAACACAAAACAGGCAAGTCGAGCGGTCTTGAGACAAGACGCGTGGCCAAGACCTCCGAGAACTCAAGACGAACACGAACATAGATGATCACCGAGTGTTCAAACGGTGACGTCCAAGTCTTGAGGACGGTCAAAAATGGGGTGTCTACAGATGTAATATAGGTGCTAGAAATATATCTTCGGAATATCTCTCTAGCAGGCTTTGAGAAAATCCAGATTCCTTCCATGGGATTATTTACTCAAGTTAGACCTTTCTTATAACAGACTACAAGGACCGTTGCCAATTCACCATTATCCACCTGCTCTTATAGTGTCTCACACAACTGGATTGACAGGAGAACTTCACCATTGATCTGTAATTGAGTTCTCTTTATGTTCTTGATTTGTCTAATAACAAATTTGACTGAACTATTCTTCCATGTTGAGTAACTTCAGTGATTCTTTTGAAAGTTCTAAATCTCAAAGGGTACACAAACTTTCAGGTTCCCATTCCTCACTCATACAATAGAGGAAACAAATTGAAGATGATTGACTTCAGTGATAATAAATTACAGGGGAAGGTGCCAAGATCATTGGCAAGTTGTACCGAGCTTGAGATTCTTGATCTCTCAAATAATCTGATCGACAATACATTCCCCTTATGGTTAGGAGATCTTACGAAGTTACAGGTTCTCATCTTGCGATCCAACAAATTCTATGGTGCTATAGGGAATCCCAAAATTAAGTTAGAGTTACCAAATTTGCACATCATTGGCCTCTCTCATAATGGTTTTACTGGCGATTTGCCATCAAAATACTTTCAAAATTGGAACGCAGTGAAATTTTTTGATGTCGACAAGATGAAATATATGGACATAATCATTGAAGTTAGCACGAACAATGACATTTGGGGTGATGGCTATTGGTACACAATGAACATTACAAACAAAGGTGTAAATACAGAATATCAGGAGATCCTGAATATCTTCACTGTCATTGATCTCTCAAGCAACAAATTTGAAGGGTTGATTCCAGAATTTATTGGAAACCTTAAGGGGCTTAAGCTGCTTAACCTTTCCAACAATAACCTTAATGGTGGAATCCCATCATGCTTCGGGAACCTAACAAACCTTGAATCTTTGGACCTTTCTCAAAACAAGCTCTAGGGAGAAATCCCTCAGCAACTAGCACTTCTCACTTTCCTTGAATTTTTAAATGTCTCAAATAACCATCTCACTGGACCTATTCCACATGGGAAACAATTCAACACATTCGAGAACAATTCGTACGAGGGGAATTCAGGATTGTGTAGAGACCCTTTATCAAGGAAATGTGGAAAGTTAGAGGCATCACCACCATTGAACTTAGAACAAGATAATGATTCAACGTTCCCAAGTAAAGTTGAATGGATTTTCATATACGCGGGATATGTGAGTGGGATAGTAGTTGGGATGGTTATTGGGCACAAAATAACCACAAGGTACCATGAATGGTTCATCGAGAATTTTGGAAGGAAACAGCGCAAGCTGAGCAGGGAGAAAAGGAGGGACACGAAAATTGAAGTTGATTATGTATTGTTTCACAAGTTATTTCCTTTGGGGCGCGTTTCTAAATTTATTGAATTATTTATGTAAAATGCTTTCATGATATATTTATGAAGTGTGTACTCTAGCTAGCTTCTACTTATAGAATGGCATAGATCGTCTTACCCAAAATTTCCATTCCCATGTATTAAAAGCACTCTCAATCACATAATTGTGTCGTGAGTTTTCTGTATTTTGAGATTCTTGACATAATTGTGTCTTGAGTTTTCTGTATTTTGAGATTCTTGACATATCATATGGTTGATTGTTCATTAAGTACAGGGATCATGAGATTTTGGATATAGAGAATCTCTAACTTCATGGCAATACTGCTATATGAATCATGTGAACATAAGGTAGGATTAGAAAAATTCCAGTAACCATCATGTATTTTTTGGGGGCGAATTATATTAATGATTCCTTTAATTTGGGACTTGTGTTACTTTAATTCATAATATTTTAATTGTGATATATTTGACTCTTAGTTTTGAATCTCGTTCCAAATAAAAATAATTGAAGATATTGTTTCCTTTGCAAACAAAAAAAATGCTTCATTTCAAGGGCAAATTCATCAATTTGATAAAATATAAACTAATTTGATAAAAATAAATGTCAAAAAGTTAATTTTGAATTTTTAAAAATTATTTCTACCCACCAAACATAAAATTATATAAAAATAATAAATCTTTTACATTTGTATATTTTTACCTAATTAATTTTTAGTATGCGTTTGAATAATGATAATGTAATGGGTGATTGTTTTTATTGATGTTTTTGGATAATTATCATGTAATAGATGGTTGTTTTTGTTGTTAACAAATTTTTTTGGATGGTCATAATGAAATGGATGATTATTAGGCTTTTTTTAGTAGTGGTAGTAATAGTAGTTTGAACTTCCACCCTGAATAATTTGAAATTATGTTTTTTTTATTTTTTGTTGTTACTATTATATTTTTGGAATACTATGAATACGCTAGTCATTTAAGTTGTGTAATTTTTTTCCCCCTAATAAATATTATATGTTGTGTACTTAAAACAAAACTTTGAAGAATGTGACTCAGATAAGGCTCGTCATATTTCAAATAATTCGACTATAGCAAGATTTGTTCAAAGGTCCAAATTAGCCCATACATATTAGTACAGTGGGCTGGTCTGGGATTTGAATTTTGTTTAAGGTTGGATTTGGGATAGCCGAATTAGGCTCAATACGAGGCCACATTTTACGAACCGACTCTTTCGAGTACGCAGCACAAATTTTCTAAAATCAACAAATTGGGAAGACTTCCAACCCAGCACCCAAAATTAGGAAGTTGGGCTACCAAGTTTTCAACAAACTTCTATCCTTGAAAAGTCTCCAACTCCAAATTAAGACTATCAAAATCCATACGGGGAAGAAAAGAAAAGAAACTACTAAGGATCTATTTAGAAGTGCAATTTGAGCAGGTTGAAAGGTTGTCCAAGTTCAGTCTAAGTTATGTTGAGAGATGGTCAGATCCACCTAAGTACAAATTGTAACCTGAGATTCTCTATTCAAGGCCGAGGTTCTACTATTAACCCCAAAAAAATATACATACTATATGCATCTTTACCTTAAACTTTTAAATTATAAAATACTAGTGTATGCCCGTGCCTGAAGGCACGGTGTAAATAATATTGGGATTAGAATATAATTGTAATCCCAACCCTTCAATATAAAAACACTTTCACGAGGCAAACTAATAAATAGACAAATATCATTGTATATGAGCCAATATGCAAAAACACTTTGATGAACACTGTGATATTGTTTTTTGCCCATAAACTGCTTCATACAGACAACATAAATGCTTCACTAAAACAATGAATAGAACTCACTTGAGAAGATGGGATGCCATCAGCAACTCAAGCTCTCCACCCCATACATAAGGTTTTCAAATTCTTTCCACATACGCATCAAAGTCTCCTTCAATGAACCTAAAACCCATGAAGAGAATGAATAAACACTTGCATTCAAATTTAACCATGTGCAATAACACTACCTATACACTTATCAAAAAGCTCACCATTCAGTCTCTTTCCGCCTCGTTAAGACTTCATCCAGAACCTACAAATCACAATAACTAATGTACTTCAAAAAAAATAAAAATCAAGTTAAACCATACCTACTGTTTTCAATGTGTTTGATGGAGGAAGTCTTGAATTGCAGCAAAGGAAAAGGTTGTACACAACTAAATTATCAATCTTAAGGGAAAAGGTTGACTTAAAGGCTTGATTTGAACTCACCTAAAGAAGCAAGCAGCTGGCAGTTAACAGAATCAAGTGGTCTACCACGACCCCTTTTGGAAGAAGAGGACTCAGAAGAAGAAGAAGAAGAAGAAGAAGAAGAAGAAGAAGGAAAATGAGGTGAGAAAGAAAAACCTGGTGGTGGTGATGATATAGATGGCAGTTTCAAGTTACCATCTGATTCATACTTTCATGGCCTCCCTTTCTTCGTCACAAAGATAATATAAAAAATCTATACAATTTATAAAAAATCTATATATAAATAAAAAAATCTATACAATCTATATCTAAATAAAATCTATACAATCTATATCCAAAACTAATCCATATTCTTCTGCATTATCTCAAATAAAATAAAAATATACTCACAAATAAAAATTCAAAAAGCAAACTCTTTGCTTGGCAATTCAACAACAAACTCTAACTAACTTAATTCCCCCATGATTTACAAATCAATATAGCCCCAAAACCCCCATTTACTTTGTCCAAAAACCCAAATCACCCATTCAGATTCATTTTGCTTCCAAGCTTGAACTGAAAATTCTGAATACTTCTGAAAATTCTAAATAAAATTGGAATATTTGTTAAGCAATACATGACCATAAGCAAAATATCCAACCAACACCTTGCCACAACAAAAACAAAATTTATCACAGCTTACCAATCCTCACTCCCAAAGAAAGAAAGAAAAAACAATAGAAAAACACAAAAAAAACCCAATAAATATAAAAAAACTTCATATCAGTATTTCAAAAGTATTTAGCAAACTCATAAGTGTTTAGAATTAGAATGCACCAGAGAGGAGCACGTGAGCTGAGAGACATTTTGAACCATTAGATCTTAATTGTAATTGATCTCAGCCCTTGGATTGAGTAAGACATTTTCAGCCCTTGGATTGAAGCAATCTAAAGGTCCAAATTTTGACACATATATTTTCAGTTTTTGAATTCAAAATAGCCCTTCTATTGTTATATAGACTAGCGTATGCCCGTGCCTGCAGGCACGGTGTAAATAATATTGGGATTAGAATATAATTGTAATCCCAACCCTTCAATATAAAAACACTTTCACGAGGCAAACTAATAAATAGACAAATATCATTGTATATGAGCCAATATGCAAAAACACTTTGATGAACACTGTGATATTGTTTTTTGCACATAAACTGCTTCATACAGACAACATAAATGCTTCACTAAAACAATGAATAGAACTCACTTGAGAAGATGGGATGCCATCAGCAACTCAAGCTCTCCACCCCATACATAAGGTTTTCGAATTCTTTCCACATACACATCAAAGTCTCCTTCAATGAACCTAAAACCCATGAAGAGAATGAATAAACACTTGCATTCAAATTTAACCATGTGCAATAACACTACCTATACACTTATCAAAAAGCTCACCATTCAATTAGAAAACCTTATGTATGGGGTGGAGAGCTTGAGTTGCTGATGGCATCCCATCTTCTCAAGTGAGTTCTATTCATTGTTTTAGTGAAGCATTTATGTTGTCTGTATGAAGCAGTTTATGTGCAAAAAACAACATCACAGTGTTCATCAAAGTGTTTTTGCATATTGGCTCATATACAATGATATTTGTCTATTTATTAGTTTGCCTCGTGAAAGTGTTTTTATATTGAAGGGTTGGGATTACAATTATATTCTAATCCCAATACTATTTACACCGTGCCTTCTGGCACGGGCATACGCTAGTCTATATAACAATAGAAGGGCTATTTTGAATTCAAAAACGGAAAATATATATGTGTCAAAATTTGGACCTTTAGATTGCTTCAATCCAAGGGCTGGAAATGTCTTACTCAATCCAAGGGCTGAGATCAATTACAATCAAGATCTAATGGTTCAAAATGTCTCTCAGCTCACGTGTTCCTCTCTGCTCAAAATCTCTCTTTGTTTCAATTTTCAAAGTTTCAACACACAACCCTCCCTCTCTCTCTCTCTCTCTCCATCAGAACCCATTCCCTTGCTGTAGACCCAACCCCCTTCAATTAGCCACTGCAAAAGGAATGGCTTCCACATTCGAAAGAGTCATCAGCATTGCCAGAGATGGACATTTCTCTTCAAATCCCGATGACCAGAACGATGTCGAAGACCGATCTCAGGAGGGTTTTGATTCGAGATCGGACTCGATTTTTTGGGTTTCATGAGATTCGAGATCAGATTTTTTGTTTTCATGAGGTGAGGCGCTTCAGATTTTTGTTTTCGGTGAGGCGCTTCACATGCCAGCCCATAGCCACAGAGATCATCAATCGATCATCACAGAGATCATCAAAAGAACGATTCGCAAAATCATTCATCTTCATACCAGCCCTGTGAGTATCGTTGATTTTTCTGTATTAATATACAAGAATTTGATTTTTCTTACACTTTTATGAAGAGTTGGTTGGGTTTCACGAATTTGATTTTGATTTTGGGTTTGGGTTTGGGTTTCGCAAAATCAACCCATTTACTATCATTTAGTTCTATATTCCTTGCTTATTAAGTGTTTGATAAAATGTTTGGTGTGTCTCTGTTGTTTGAGTTTCTGCTATTACCATTTGGAAATTCAAAAAACAGATATATATATAGTTTTGATCAATAACACTGAGGATATGGTTTTGTATTCCTCTCTTCTCTGCTATTAGTTTTGATCTGCTTTGTTGACATGGTTTTGGCCACTGAGGCTATCAGAAAAACAATAACACCATCTTTCGGGACCGAATGGCTTTAAAAAGCCTTGCTGACTTTTCTGCAATTCTGAGGCCTTCATTTTCTTCTTCTTTGGTAGAATAATTTCAATTGCTGTTCAATTTAACCTCAAGTCATGAAAAATTAAAAATGATTAAAAGTTTTTAGTCTCTTATTATTTTATTTTTTAAAATTTAAGTAAAGGTTAAATATTTGATTGATCAAAGAGAAATTTAAATAAGAAATTAATATCTTGATTGAAAGGTAAATATGCATTAAAACTTTCAATATTTTTTTATTTATCTTTTAAATTTATTATATGAACCCTTTTTATAGTATAGATTGAAAATTGAGGATGCAATTATTATTATTAAAAGATAAACAAATCGAATGAAATTTTGAATAACAAGCTTTAGTACCTCCGTCCGACAATCCAATAAAGTTCAATGTGAATTTTGTTTATTTGCTTTCGTATGGTTGTTTTGAAAAATTAGTCAAAAGTTAATTTTTTTATTTTTTTAAAAATACATTAAAAAAAATTAGAGAGGTGATATAATTTAAAAGCAAGTTTTCATATTAGGCCTTACTATATTGTGTACCAAATTCTATTTTTCAACAATCACCCGTTTTCTCTTTTTCTCTTTTCAAATTAAATTTGATAAAAAATGCTTAAAAAATCATTACCAAACCCCTTCATCAATGGTTCAAATTGAAGAAGAGTCATTATTTTATCAAAATATAAACTCATCAAATCTTTTGTTTTAATTTGACAACATTAAATATTTAAAAAGATAATCTTTTTTATTAAATTTGATTCAAAAGTTTTGAAAAATAGTGTGAGAAAATAAAAAAATTTGTTAAAAAAATATTAAAATAGTTCATATCAAATCAATTTTTTTTTATCTAAATTTAAAATTTAATTAGACAAAATAATATGATGAAAGAATTACATATAGTCTAAAAAAAGCAGTTTTTTGATAGAGCTATTATATTGCACTTTCTATTTGTTTGGTTTAGTTTTTAAAATATGATTTGAATCAAAAAAATAAAAAAAAAGTTTGTTCGATTAATAAATTTTTAAAATGCAATTCAAAACTTACTTTTCTCTCACCTCTTTTTTTTTGTTATTAATAAATCAATTAATATTTTTTTTCTCTTTTTTCTCTTATTTTTTTATATTCTACATATCAATCAATTAAATTTTCTTTCACACTTACCTATTCAATTAAAAATAAAATAAAAAAATTAAAATTAACTCAAATTTATTTTTAAAATTCATAACCAAATAAATTTTTAATTTTTT